GGATCGGGGTAAACCCTAAACACCCAGCTGGCACCACAAGGAGGTTGTTTGGCTGACCGGTCTCTTTATCTCTGTCGACCTGATGCGCCGGATTCCACAACCGTATAGTAGGGTTGAACGGACAGCTGCATTGTAAACTCTGCCTTTCAGGGCTGGCGTCCTCGTGGTCTACTCAGCCCACGCGCGATCGGTGGTGTTCGCATGGCAGCGGAGCGTCGGTGCTGTGTGCCGGCTTACTGCTGACAACTATTTTGTCTTTGACTTTCAGGGCGAGTGATTTCGCGCCGGCACAACAGGTGGCGGCGATTGGCAAAAGCACCTCGAACCTTTGCTATACTGATGCTAACATAGCTGCCGAGGAACTTGAATTTCTGAATGAGTTCTAGTTACTCCCCACCAAGCGTCCGCTCAGGAGTGCGTCCCTGCCAATCTTGAACAAGGACTATGCGGCCAAGCAGATCTTAAAACGATTAACGACCTGTACTAATCTATCCAGTGCTGCTTGGCACCTTTGGTAGCTGTCACATATGAGAGTAATGTTGTCAGCGCACTCTAAGTCAAGAAGTCGCGTCGGAGATGTGGATGGAATAAGAGGAGGTACGGCCAAACGAAGACTTGACCAAGAGCAATGAATTCCTTCACTTCGGACATAGTGTCGGTTGGTGTGTCCCGACTGCCTGGCTGGGGTCCGAAGGACGATGAGCACCTCTGGTTGGATACGCTAGTTGTTATGGCAAGGAACCGACCTCAGTGGTGTTTGTGTTGTGAACTTCTTTGTCCCTCCCCATCTAATTACGATCACATTTAGGGCATATAACGTAACTTCTTTTACGGCAAATAGCCCGGCTGTTAGCTCTCCGAAATGATGTTCATCCGCTACCGATAGCTCGGCTGGCGCGCGTCTGTTTTATCTTCTTTTTCCCGTGCATTGCGACGCAATAACTAAGGTGTTTCTCGCTTCTAGCTAGCGTGAATAATGATGATAATAATACCCCCTCTGGTTAACACCGTCGCCGCAACTGCTCTTCTTGTATTTTGCCACTGTAATCGATTCGCTCCAGTTAACCGGGATAATCTGTTCCTTTCAGATGAGGTCAGTGCTTTGTAGAGGACCTCACCTTCATCCTTAAATGGTGCATGTGGGAGGAGATCCGGGCTAGCAGCACGAAAACGATCACGGACTGTGATCGCTTTCTGGACCTCTGCCTCCCATGACGCCTTTAAACTGACCATCCATGGCTCATCCTGCATCACCATAGAAAGAGGTCCAGAAGCAGCAGGTCAACTGAACTGATCTTAAAAGTGCTCCACGCGACGAGCCATACGGCGCTGCTCGTGAATCATGGCACCCGCACTGTTTCTGATTGTCTCACTGGCGCCTGCTTTCCTGGGACCAATGGTGTCTCAGGTGGAACAGCTTGCGATAATTGTCTACTGCTCCCGCCTCCTCCATTTCTTGAGCCTGTATGGTCCACCAAGCTTCGTTGACAGCACGCAGGCTCCGCATTAGTTCGCGCCTAACCTCTGGTCACATTGTGCTCAAAGCCAGCCGGGCGTTTTCTTCTGCATTCCAACAAGTTCACCGACCACTGATATTTGGTGACTGGAGCGGTGATATTGATAAATAAGTGGGTATATTTCTCGACAAGCGGGATACGCGTTCCCTTTGGTGGAACGACTGTTTGTACAGCGAGTTTCGTCATTTCACTTATGAACTGCATTCAATATGGAACAGTTATACAGATGTTCGTGCATTGTGGCCGAGATCCTATTCTATTGAAGCTCAATGTCATTAGGACAAAAGTGCGAAAGCTCGGTACGAAGTGCATTCTGGTAGGTTTGGTTGACCGTGGGCTGAGATAATTTCTCATTTGCCAATCGTTGAAGATGCTTGGTGCACCTCCTGAGAAAGTTCATGAAAAATCACGGGGTACCAAGGCATGATCGGAATCGAAGCAAGTACTACAGAACGAGCGACAGTCCAGGCTGGAACCACGCCATCTGTAACTTGTGGCAATGTGATCTAGCTGGGGCCATCGCTTGGCAGCTACAGCAAAGCACCAAGTGGCACTTCGACGCCCACTGTATCTGGAAGCGGTGCCACTAATAAGAAACAGCTGCTGCTCCGTACACAGTGCAACAGACGCTTGCCGTTTTTCGTCCGTTTGGAGTTAAGTCCATACTTACACCCTGTCTGACCTTCTGAAGAGCCCAGGCGACCTACTTGTGCATTCAAACCCCCTGCAAGAACTATAACATCTGAACTGGTAACACTGCGAAGTAGCGTGCTCAGATCGTGGTAGAAGGTGTCTTTGGCAGCGTCAGGACTGCAGTCGTTGTGCGGCATACGCAGCAACCACAAACAGCATCTTGTGTTACTTCGTGAATCAACCTTGATTGATATCGTCAAACATGTTTCACATAAATGGCTGCTCACGATAATCCAACCAACCAACGATGACAGCTTTGGAGCTCAGAATGATGCCCACCCCAGCTTGACCAATGATTGCCGCATTAGCTTCTCCGGACGCGTGCAACCAATAGCGAGAGGACAAGCGGGGCGCAGTTATTTCAGCCACCTCGTGAGGGTCATTTATCCTAGTTTCGGCTGAACAACTTACGTCAATACCCAGTGTGTCCAGCGTGCGCACGTGTGTAGCATGTTGATTTTTTGTCTTAGAATGCGAACGCTGAACGCCGCTGCAGAAACTGGACAGCGTGGCCTTATAAGGGATTGTTGCCGATGGGCGTCCAGTGGGTGATGCGCGAAGGTAGATGCGGATGGCGTGACTCCAGTGGCATTGCGGCTGCTGTCAATTAAGCTGGGAATTATGGTAGGTGTGTAATGAGGATTGGGAAGGGAGTAAGAGAAACAGGTTGAAAAGAAAGAAGAGAGTCATCAGCAGTAGCATCTTTCGCTTATCTGCTCTGCTGTATGCAGCGAATAAGGCGACCCTCAGTAATCTGCGCGATAGCCTGTGTAAGATGTGCTTGAAGTTTGCAGAAATAGTCATGGTTTTACGTGGGCTGTGATACTCCCAGGGTGTACAGACCTTAACAGGAGGACAATTAGTATCCTCAACCAAAGCCTTTGGCTCAAAAGTCTGTCCGCAAGGCAGCGGGGAGGTGACGCTGGTTTAGCTTTACCAAAATGGATTCCATCTCATTTCAAACCCCCAGCCAGGAGGACCACGTTACTGAATTTGTCTGGCCTCTAACCATTGACTAACCTTGTTGGAGTAGCTCTCAAGGGGTTTGGAGGCCCCACCCAGTAGAGCTCAGTGGGTCGAAGAGGTACGCAAACCGTCGCATCATGTTAAGGTCCAGTCCCATGCTCTACGCCAATCGAGCTGTGAGCTTATAACCTATAGATTTGTTATCTCCCATGGCTAAGTTTTAAAGGAAGAAGGCGATCGACCTCTCACTAACATCCGAAGAGGATTGGATTGTGTGACTGAGATAGTCTGACCCCTAGCCATTGACCTGTCGAGTATGGATGGCTCTGGAGGCACTTGGAAAGTGCCACTTAGCGTAGCTCGCTGAGTCACGGGGGTACTCAAACCATCTCACCACCCCAAAGTCCAGTCTCGTTGCGGTAATGTTTTCTGTTTAAATGTTCAGAACCGCTCATTTTAGACCGTTCGATTATTGGAAGTCAGTCAAACCCAGTCTCAGCATCTTCTTTGGAGGCTGTGGGCAGGTTAGTGGTCCTCGGAGTTATACACTCAGCATGACTGGCTACGGCGCAAGCGCTTCGCGTTGCCTCTGGCAGCGGGAGGGCTTTACCGTGAGCACTGTTTGCTACTGCATGCTTGAAGCCGGATGACCCCTGGCCAGTGAGGTGCAAACCCACTAAATCCTGTCTGCCGTGTGTCGTGATCGCCGGAGCGTGACGGACTCCGGTCAAAAAATGCGCATAATTCGTTATAAAAATTCAGTAACTGTACTTGTTAAGTCTGTGATAGATCGCGCACTTTTGATTTGGACTTGTTCCTTACTACTTTACTGATCAGACTATTTGGTAAAAGGCCCCGAGTATAGTTCATCAAGAAAATAACGCAACCGTCCGTTCAACTCTCCTTTATGGTTGTGAAACCTGGCCCATCAGGTCGACAGACATAAAGAGGCTCGTTATATTCGATCATCACTGCCCTCGCAGCTTAGCTCATGTCTGGTGGGAGCACCGCGTGAGCAATGAGAGTGTTCGACGTCGCTTATTTGGTGCAGGAAGAGCGAGCGCACCGCTCAGCGCCATTATATCACGCACCAGGCTCCGATGGTTGGACCACGTGTTGCGCATGTCAGCACACCGACTTCCGCGACGTCCATTGTTTGCGCGTTGTAGTTGTGGTTGGAAGAGGAGGAGGGGAGGCCAAGCGATGACTTGGTCGAGAGAGATGAAAACCTTCACTTCGAAGTTGACGTCGGTTGGTGCGTGGCTGGGGTCTTAAGGACGGTGAACACGTTTGGTTGGACACACTTGCTGATATGGCTTGGAGCCGGCCCCAATGGCGTTTGTGTTGCAAGTTCCTTTGTCCATCACCCTCCTGCTTAGCATCTCCCTGCAATCACGATCTCACTCGTTAGGCATAATATGACTCTTTATACGTCACGATAGCCAGCTGTTATCTCTCCGGAACAATGTCCATCCGTCACTGGGGACTCAGCGGGCGTTCCACTGTTTGTTTTCCTTTTCTTGTCTTTGGTATTGCGGCACAATAGCTGCGGAGTATTCCATCTGCAGCTAACGTGCATGATGATGGTGACGTTTTCTACCCCATTTTCCCATTATTATCACTCTCCTGATCATACGAGTCACGGAAACTTGATCCACTGCCTTTCGGTGCTTGGATCACATTTGTTTAACTGAACGGAGTTGAAAATTTCGCTACCTCGCACGAGAACCCCACCCGTTTTCATGACGCGTTTCCGCACATTACTCCTGTCTTCACCAAAACAGGTTTAACTATCCTCCTGTGACTTTTCTTTTTTTATTAGCGCAATGGCTTCAACATCTCCATTCGCAGAAAATCTGTTCGCTTTCGAAGTACGGAATCTCCAAAATTGCCCGATAGTTGTCGATGGCGATGATTTTGTGCAATACATTTACCAGCAGGTCGGCATCGTGTCGGAATTTGGCGGTGAATGTATCGAATTCGTTCTACGCGCCTCTCGGTTACTGAACACCTTCGTTCACTGCGACATTAGGCCCATTTTTGTATTTGACAATCTTGTGGTGAGTTTCTATTTCACAACATCTATTTAAATCTCTGAGGTTTTTTTACTACGGCTGTGCTGTAGTAGTGTATTGGTTTTCTCTTTAACTTGCTTCCTTTACTGTTTTTCTCACGTTACGTCAGTTTACTCTTATTCACTGGTTTAAAGTCTGTACGTTGCCTCATCATCTTTGGTCCTCTTCGGCAATAACACTTTCCAACTTTGCGGTTACACTCTACCAACTTAGGCGATTCTCTTTTTCGCCTACGAACAATGTCTCTGGCAACGCGTCACTGCCCTTTCCAATTTTCCCCAGCGGATTCGCTTTCTTCGTCATATCCGACTTCACCACTTTTCACATCCACAGTTGCAAATGCCACTTACATTTTCAACTACTTATCGGGTTCGTCCGCATATCCGTTTTCTCTTTAAACTACATGCCCTCTAATTAATATGCAGCTGAGCATCTTGTCAGTTACACAACAATTCGATCCTCACTTGCTTTTGCTGCTGATGCATCACCCACCTTGCCTCGCCATGACGGTGCCTCTATCTCCCTATGCAATCGTTGATAAACGTTGTCGCCTCACGCATCGATTAGGTTGGTAATGAAGTCATTGCGCTTTTTGCTATTTTTATTTTAACAACTGTGTTTGAACTGATTTGTAATGAGTTTCTTTAACCTTGTACATCAATTGGAAGCCTGTCTTACGCCTTATCTAACTAGGGTGACAGTTTAGCTCAGCGACACATTTTTACATCTTTACAGAGCATTTAATGTAACATGGACAGAAGACAAATTCGCACAGTTTTCTTGTACCCGATTAAACTTGTTCGAAAACAGCAGAAACAGCCATTAATATCAACACTGCACTCGGTGCTGACACCAATAATAACCGTACTGCACAATGTTGATTTAAGCAATTTCGTAAAGGCCAAGGGAGGCTTGGTGATGTAAAACGCTGTGGATGGCCATTGAAAGTGAGCAACGATCTGTTAAGGGCCTTCGTTAAATCGGATCCGCGTAAAGCTATTCGGGATCTTGCGGCTGACTTAGCACTATCGCATGTGACTGTTTTAAAACATTTACTGGAGAATGGAATGTCGAAAAAGCTTGATAATTTGGTGCCGCACGAATCGAACGAAAAATCAAAGGAATTATCGCTTTGAGGTGTCGTTTACTCTTCTTCTGCGCAATAAAAATGACTCGTTTCTTGACCGGATTGGGAGTTGCGATGAAAAGCGGATCCTTTATGACAATCAATAATGAATCTCTCAATGGTTGGACCACGATCGAGCTCCACAACACTTCCGAAAGCAGAAATGGCACCCAGAAAATGATTATGATGACTGTTTGGTCGTCTGCGGGTGGTCTGATCCATCACAGCTTTCTGAATCCAAGCGAAATCATTACAGTGGAGAAGTATTGTCAACAAATTGTCGAAATGCACCGAAAACTTCAACACAGGTGCCCGGCACTGGCAACGGATAGGAACCGATTCTTCTCCATGATAACACTTGGTCGCATGTCTCACAAACAACCCTGAGGAAGCCGCACGAGCTGAGCTATAAAATTTTGCTCCACTCACCATACTCTTCTGACCTCTAACTTTTTTGGATTATTTCCCTCTATCCTCTCTCCATCTTCTCGCAGCGTTGTCACTGTACGCTTATTCGAACCGGATTTGCCAGCCCTACACATTGATCCATCATACGTGGAAATATCTTTTACGATTAGAGGCTGTGCCATCACTAACCGTTTTCACTGGCATCTGTGATTAAGCGCAAGCGTTTACTTCAATCGTATTGAGCCGATTGCCTTTCTGTGTGACACCATTCGATACAGAATTCTCGAGGCAAACCGAAAAGCCTAAGCTTATTCCGATCCAGTGTTTCTCAACACAGCTGTGAAAGAATCTGTGCTCAGCGCTCTGTTCAGGTTGCAGTCACTCGCCATTCCTTGTGATCTTGTCAGCCAGTGCGGCTGCATAACCCATCACACGGACCGCGCGACCACGCCGACCGCTCATTTGACCTTGCAACCACCACGCTCGCCTGACCGATGTGCGCCGCTCTCAAAGCTGTAAAAGTACAGAACGCTAAACAACCCACTGGGTCAGGTGACGACACCAAATTGAATGGCAGAAAGGCGAAACCGAAGAGACTCCCATCGAGAGGCATTTGCGGGTTAAGAGAACGTCATTGAGTAGTAAAAGTCAGTCTGGTTTGTTCGCACTGTTTGGAATGGTACCATACGAAATATGCAAATGTGTCCCAACAACTGTTACGGAAGCGAAATAGCTCCCAAGATGCATTTTGGTTCTGTACTGCGTGTTCCACCATCCTCCTCGTTAAGTGCTTGCTTATCCTAGCTGAGAAATGCGACCGGTTAATCGCAGAAGCAGAGCAGAGGATAAACAATAAGGTTACTTCAATGGAAGCGAGTATGGACCACAGAAGCGCAGCGGCTGCTAAGCAACGGAATGCTGAACAATCCGCTTCCCCTGAACCGCAATCAGCCACGTCTCCACCTCCGTTGTCTTCTCCAACTTTGGTAGAACGCCGGGCGAAAACAGACTGTACCTACGTGAATCAAACAGTACTCACAGCAATGAAAATCAGGCACCATTCAAAACGTCTGGTTAAGCAAATTCCGCTAGACCTGACATCTAGCATTAACAAGGATGAAGCAGCCAAACACCAACCCTTGGTACCTGTAGCTCAAATATCTCTTGTCGAGACTAAGCTTCCCAGAACATCGGTCACATATGCAGAGATTGCCGCAAGGGTCCACCGAGAGGCCGCCGTTGCGTCCTCTTCCATTGTAAACACCGTTAACGCAAATGGAGAGAATAACAGCAAACAATTACTTGTCAACTAGTCAGGACAAATGAGTACTCGTCATCCGAACTCGCCACACTATGGTGAACCCAGACTTATTCGAGTGACACTAGAATCCTCCACCGACGTAGAAAAAGTTTTGCTCTCCGCAAGCGCGCTAAAACACGAACCCTGTGGGATACGTATCTATCCTGATGTCCCTTGGAGCGCGCGACAACCAAAACGAAACACCGAAGAGGGGCACAGCAAGCAAGACCGCCTAAACACAATCTTCATACATGGCGTGCCAGAACATCTTTCTAACGATTTTCAAGAGACCGGAAAGCACGATTTAGAACAGTGTCGGTTTATTCGCGAAACACTTTCTTTGGATAATGTTGTGGCACTATCGCTCACCAGGATACCTCTCTCATCGAATTATAGAGGATGCGGCCCTAGAATCCTAAAACTTGTGGTTCAGTCAGAGCAACAATCAAAGGATGTTTTGGATCGATGGCGGAGAAATCGGAAACATCTTCCTTCCGAAATTCGGCTAAAAGTGGCAAACACTTTGCACAGCACAAATATTAAAGCAACTGAAGCAGCAAGCAAACTGACGAATGTACAGAAGTGTAACTTGACTGCTGCTTTAATTGACTCTGACGTAGGTCTAAACGAAGGCTGGGACGCACCTTGGCCGAATCAAGTTGCAAACGAGGTATCATGGACCCATCAAAAAAAACGAGTAACTGCCGACCTCCCATCGGTCGGCATTCTCCCACACTTGACAGCTTCACCTCCTAGAGACCGAGAAACTGGCCTGCTTGTATACAAATGCTCAGGGTCTTTCTAACAAACTGGCTGAACTGAAAGATCGCCAAGCTTCCGGCTCGTATGATATCATTGGTATCACCGAGACATGGATGCACACGGGAATGACGGATGCTGAAGTTTCGCTACCGAACATGTCGCTGATCCGGAACGACAGGCTCACAAAAGGTGGAGGAGTAATCCTGTGTTACCGAAACGACTTACAGTGCGAAGCCGTGGCGGATTCAGACTCGCACTTCCCCGACTCTCTTTGGTGCCGGTTGCAGTTAAAAGGCAGGGACGCTTGCCTTATTGTCTTGGTGTACCGCGCCCCTAACTCAACACCCGAAACCGACTACCACCTAATGGCGGCTTTAAGGTGCAGTTTACAACAAAAGTACACTCACATTCTTATCATGGGTGACTTCAATGTACATTATTTAGAAGCCCCTGCCACGATCGGAGAACAATTCAAAACCGATCTACAAGATCTCGTAACTACTGTTCCTCTTTACAACCACATCGCTGCCCACTCGGTGCAGAACTGGTAACAGGCCATCTGTGCTGGATCTTGTGCTTACCAACGAGGAGCATATGATTGATGCGTTGGTTTTAGACTGCCTGTTGGGTCGCAGTGATCACGCAGTCATCAGTTTCAACTTCGTCTGCTATGCAGAATATCGGAATGATAAAGATGAGACTGTGCGAACCATCACAAGGTACGACCGACTCGCCCAGCTAGTCAGCGCCACAACATGGCCCTTGCTCGAAGAAGAACCCCCGGAAATCGCCTTGCTCGAGTTCGTCAACACATTCAGTCAGCTGATTGCACAGGCTTCAGAGATAAAAGCTTGCAATAAGTGCAAATCAGTTTCTTTCGTTAGGAGCAGAACTCAAAAATGGATGACAGTACGCAACGCAGCATGGCGAAGGTACAGAGAAGCTCCAGCACCAGAAACTTGGGACAACTACGTAGCCTAACGTAACCACTGCACTCAACTATTAAGAGAAGACAAAGCCGCCTATCAACAGAACAGCGCAAAAGCCTTCAGTGCTAACCACAAACTGCTGTACAAGCACGTTAATAGCCTACGAAAGGTGAGGCAATGATATCCTCCACTCAAAACGGCTGATGGCCCAACAAGAACGTCTATGGAAGCTGCAAACGCGTTGCAAGTGCAATACGCCCCCACGTTTCAAAGAGTCTTACCACCAAGCGATCTAGCAAGCTTTGTATTCTGCTCACCAGGACTAACCCACATCAATTTTACCGCAGAGGCTGTACTGCAAAAGTTGACTTCTCTACGCAAACACAGCTCGCCGGGTGTCGACACCATTCGTCCAGGGGCATTGGGAGCAGCAGCAAACCAACTGGCAGGACCTTTAGCTCAGTTTTTCCAGCACTGCTTAGACCGTGCTAGGCTTAAATGGTGGACTATGGTCCAGCCACCGGCTTGTGTACGTCAGGTAGGCATGATTTCCCAATTAGGCATGAATGCTCTCGTTCTGCTTGTTAAAGGAGAATGAGCCGGCTCCGTTGATAAAACGTGGTTCCGATCCATATTCCATCCGGTCTTATTCCCTCGGATTTACACTGGAAATGGGGTGTAAGTGGTGCAGTGCAGGCCACAATCTGTGTAGAGATATTGTGCCATCGAAACCATGGCTGAATAGGAAAACAGGGTTAGCTTAAATGTAGAACGAAAACAAGCAAGTTTTTGTCCATTTTCTATTCCCAGTGTTTCAGTTTTTTGATGTTTTTATTGATGGAGGGAGCGGGATGATCCATCCATGGTTCGTCAGTGGGCGAGATACTACCCGGTTGCCCAGTCCGAAGTAGCGTGTTGTCTTAGGGGGCCCCACCCCGAGCCTTTGATCCAGGATCCAACCTACAAGGCAGCAGGGCGATATGAGGGTATCGCAACTCGTTGGGAGCCGGTGACCAAACAAGTGGTTCATACGCCTTTAAGGCTGCCCAGTCCCATGGGCCCGACATATCCTCGAATTACAATGCCACTCAGAGAGGCAAGGGACAACGACTTTATTTAGTGGCGAGTCACATTCGCCACTTCACAGTGTTGTTAAATGGATATTTGTGGCTTTTTATAGGGAGAATGCTTGCTATGGGAAAACCCACCACGTCCTGGAACACTGCCGCCGAACCATTCGCTGGAATGGAATAATCCCGAACCACCCAGCTGGCACCACGAGGAGGTTGTTCGGCAAGTCAGCCAATAAAATAACAGAGTGCCACAACCTATGGACAAAACTAATCCAATCGTAATGAAAGAATGGATGTGGGGTAAAAGAATAGAATAGCAAACAAGCCCAACGACTGTTATCAAATGCTAAAGTCCCTCACGGGAACCTGCACAACTCATGCTTTTGTAGAATCGTGTGGTGTTGTCATTTTGCTTCCTACTCTCGTCCATGGCTATTATTTGGTCGTGAATCATATGCCCGCTTAGCAGTCATTGGTCGAATGCGTGCTTGCTGTCGTTTGGCTTGTGTGAATGACTTAAGAGTCATAACTGTTGTTATCTTTTGATTGTGTCCATACATCCGTTCAGTCTACTGAGTTCCTGTTCTGCTTTCACGGACACAACTAATCCCATCACCTTATCATCGAGTATCGGTCTGAGCACATTTCAGCAGAAGGACAAGAACTCTGACGTCTATATCTGCCACACTTTTACATCTTAACATGCGAGACTACAGAACAGTCTCAGAAGGCGAATGACCATTAAGAAACTACTACGATCACTGTGCCCGCGCACTACCTGACCGGATCTTGGAGGATCAGGTGTGTGTGTTCATCCAATACTCGGTGCTCACAAGTAATTAAATGATAGTATGATCACCCCAAAAGCTGGATAAAGGTCGTGCGAACTAAGTATTAGCTGGAAGATGATCAGAAGAAACTGAGTATACTTAAGACGACAAGGTGGGCTTGAAATTGATCACTCTATGACATGTTGCGACGAGATCAAACCGTCAGATGTCGCATAGCTTAAACGGAGCTACAAAATGTACGGAGTGCTTACAACCTAGGGGCGAAAAACGAGGGATACGATGGAATCATACTGGATTCACTGAGCGAATCCGACAGCCAACTTGACTAATTCGTTCCTCGTACACTGCAAGCATATACTGCTCCATCCCTCGGCTTTTGTTTAACCTAGTCGAAGTGGAGAGCCTGATGAGTTCATATTTATCGTTGTTCATACAATTAGACGAGCGTATATGTCTAGTGAGCCATGAGCGAGGCCACTCGGGACCACTACAGAAGCGACGACGGGTCCTGCAGAGAAGTATTCAGAACCGGCGCAGCGTTTGTAGGTACGTTGCATTCGATTTACTAACTGCGTGCTTGCATGCTGTCTCTTTGTTTCAGGTGTTGGGTTTTCAATTTTGCCCTAATGCTTTTCTTTCTCATAAAAATGTCTACCTGTACTCTATTCCATTAACTTGCACACCTCGCTTAAGCCAATTGTATTCGATTTCCATAACATTTTTGTGTTCGTGGCATTTCCGTAAAGTATACTTTCTGACCTCGTGAACTTATATAGGATTCGTTTGTAAACAACTTATTTCATATGCTCATTAACTTAAGGTTTAGGTCACCGTTTCCTAATGCATTAATCGAGTTATTTTCTTTGTATCTCTCTCTCAAGTGATTGACTGTTGTTTGATATCCCCGGTGTAGCTGCGCTTGATGTGCATGTTGACAAGGTGCCTACCTGTTTATTACCCACTACCTCGTCCATACTGGCTCCAGAAGACAGTTTATCGTTGCTGGAGGGGACGGGGTACACGGTCCTTCTGGCCGTGTTAGGATCAAAGAGTGGTTCCATGCACTCACTGTGGAACGGACTACGGTCTAGCCACCGCCTTGTGTGTCCGCTTGATTCCCCAAATACAGCGTGCTTGTGAAGGAGTGTGGGCCGGCTCCGTTGATGAAACGTGGTTCTCATCCGCATGCCTCCCGGTCTTATTCCTTCGGGTTTACACTGGATATGGGGTATGTGGTTGGAGCTGTGGGTGGTGCAGCACAAGCTACCCATGGTCCCTCTGTAGGCGCAGGCGTCCTGTGGCTTGCCTCAATGACAGGCAAATCCGAAACCGGATGCCGCCAACCATATGTCGTCGTATTCTGCGGGTCAGACGTGTTATCGTTGCTGCTTTTTACGATACTTTCCATCATTGACCACGACTCTCCTACGTATTCAAGTGCGACTGAGGATCTTCATTCTCCCACTTGAAGTACTTGTAGATGTGTTGAGGTGCTTTCTGAAACCTGGAATACAATTCCAACTTCTCCCCCTATCTTTCACCCCCTGAAGATACACTAACCTATAGGATCCCTGTTACGTCGTTCTATCTGTCCATTACTAGATTCCTGCGCTAGTGGGTAGAGCTGTTGCAAAAGCAATGCTTACGGGTCGGTTGGCAAATCTTTTTTCGATCAACACTTAACCGATGTCCTAAATTTCTGCATAAATATCTTGTTGACCGCTTGCAGAAGCTTATTTATAACGAACAAATTGCCTTCCCGCAGTTATAAACGGTTGGATTCCACATTTCATCGCTTTCCATTCGTTCCACCGTAATCAAACTGGTACTCTACTCTGCGCCTGTTCGATCACTTTGAGTCGATGAACCAGAGGGTTTTCGGGACCGTTAAAATCATGGGTTTCGGTCATCTGCATTTTATTTCATTGGTCTGTCTATCTTACGTTTTCTAGTTTTACAAAATCGCCTTATTTCCATCCCATTTGAGTACTGCTCCTTGTTACGTAACACCATCTCGCCTGCGCACTACTTGCTGGTCGTTTGATGCCACACACACTACCCGAGTTGCAAAAGCGTTACAAATGTCCCTTTTCCTTACATGCGCACTTTTCCCTTCACTCTGTTGCGTGATACTTGTTGTGTTTGACAATGTTAGTTTCACAGCCTTGCGTTGTTCATTGCATTTCTTGCTTTACTGACACATGCGTCTTTTCTCTCCATCTTTCTCGCTCCCTTTTTCTCAATGATACAGGACACCACGAAAAACTTTCCTGTCTCCATCAAAACTGCTTTCAAGTCCATCATAACCAGCGCAGATCTCAAGCAAGTTGCATCAGATGACTACATAGTGCGAACCGTCGCAAGCCTTGCGTCCACTCTACAATGTCTCATCCTTGGCTCCAAGCATCAATACTTTTTCCTCCAACCCTTGTCGGATTCCGGCCGTCCTGTTCACTTTGCACCCGTGGATCTGCTTCATCCAGAACCCGTGCTGACCACCGACTCCGGTGGACTGGAAGTTCGCTTTTTGACAGCTCACGTCTTTCATCCCCGCTTTACGGATCTATCCCGTATCCCAACCAGCTGGTACGCAATCGTTGACGTCTTTCTGTCCTCCGACCTTTTCTCCATCCCACACATTCCGTCTGTCGATAAATCATGCCTCAACACGGAAAACCGATTCGTGGCAACCATCCGGTGGCTTTCTACATCTTCACACGATTCTCAAACACTTCTGACTAATCTCGTTTCTACACATCCCTCTTCACAACACGCGACTGTGATCCGACGTCTAGCACACCATATGTCCCAACTTGTTTTTGATTCTTGTGCATGGGGTCACTCCCTAACCTTGCAACTAGGTCTTCAGTTGAATCAGACGAAAGAGTTAGTGTACACCTCTAATCCGATGGGTTCTTTGGACAGAATGGCTGACAGTTCCATGAATGTTAATCTCCTCGTACTGATACTGCACGGTGGCTGTTACGTCAGTCGAGTAGAAGATATCACGATCGGGTGGCCTACCTCTCTTGCTAACGCCTATCGGTGTTCTCGCCTCGTACCTGCCTTGTTGGCACCAATGTACACCCGATCTTTCTCTCGTACCGAATTCAGCCATTTGTGTACCTCCGGGCTCATTGGCTCATTGACACGACCACTTCGTGTTTTGTGCTACCGTCTAATTGTTGGCCTTGAGCTCGGCTTGCATTCGGAACACAAACTTGCCAATTTGAACCACGGATTAGCAGAGGAGGTACTTCTTCAAGTAGACGAGGAAGAGTGTCACCTTCCACTCCCGCGACTAATTTTTCCCTTTGGACAACAATGCTCTGAACACATCCTGGCTGATTTGTTTTCTCTTCCCCCATCCTTACAGACCCTCAAGCCAGACTGGCTCTTTGGTCTGGCTATGACTTTGGCCATCTGGTATCACAAGAGCCCATGCCCCGAGGTTGGAGTGAAGCCAACGCTGGATCGGTCTCCATTCGTGCTTGCAGTCGCAGCTTCCGCGGTGGCCAATGTCAGTAATGTGGATCTGTTAGACAAACAGCTGTCTGTTCAGTATGACCGTCTGATCGGTTTGCTAGAGCGCGAATGTTCCTCTATCAAACAGCGCCTCCCGTTCGATCCGTTTCCAGAGCATCATCCGGAACCCGAACAACAGTTCACTGGCGTGTTGATGATTTACGAACACTTGCGCTCTGTGGTCCAACTGGTTCATAGCCTTTTCCCTTGCGAAACAGATGCACCGTTATTTCACTTTCTCCCTAGCTGGATGCTTTTCCCGTCTGGATCTATCGTGCACTATTTGACTATGCATTTGGAGCTGCTCATTCCTGCCATCCGACTGGAGCAAGTCCAACATTACTGGCTCCCCAAACTGTATCGTGGCCGCCATTCACCGACCAAAGGTGTGGGTGACAATCTCGAATTGTTCGACCGGCTCTTGCGCATAGCGTCGTTGATGTTGACCCCAGACACCTCGTTTCTACACCCCGATTGTTCTATCACCACTAGCACTACTGTGCGTTTTCGTTCCCCCAATCCTCCTCCGCCATCCGCGAGTGATGAAAATCCCACCTCAAACGAGTGGACGCGAGCGGACAAAGTCACCGCCAGTACAACAAACATGGCTGCCGATTGGGTCCGTTCCAGTGTCATTGAGTCGCGCCATCCTCTCGCCGATTTTTCCAATAAAGCCTCTGTTTTTTGATTTCTACTCTGCGTTCCTTCTCCGTTTCACTTCAAACCGATATGGCTCACGAATAAAACCCAATCGGGCACTGTTTTTTGTATCATCCGCATGTCGTTGCGTTGTGGTTTACTGACGGTTTGACCTATTTCTAGTTATCGGAATGGGACGCACACCCGCCTTCTATTCAAGACGTGCAGCGTTTTCGTTAAAGCGAATTCAAACGTACCAGTGAAGTTGCTTGGTTTTAATGTGCTCGTCTGGATTGCTAGACAGGGTTTAATTTTGAAGTGCATCTCGATTGGTTTGATGGCTGTAGTCATGTCTCTGGTGGAAACTCCTCTCCTGCCTACCCATCAGTTTTGTCCATGTTTTTGACTCTTCGGGTGGTGAGCTACACAAGGTTGGACATCGAATTTGGTGAGTCACTCTGCTCTAAGGGTTGCACTTTGTGTGGATGGATTGTGACACGTAATTTGTATCTGAACGGCGGCGATTCACTTCCAAGTGAATTTCGATCAACGGGATTGTGCAAAGTGAATTGATGTTAGAAGTGTCCCGCTCGGAACGCTGTACTTCACTCGTCGGATAGAGGTAACCGCAGCGGCACTCACACATTCTATCGACTCAACGGGTTGATATGATGTGAATTACGATGTGTTCACATTCTGTTTGCGCTTTTCGATCACAAATGTAGTATCTCCGTGAAAAAACTGTTAACTGTATTGGGTTCCCAGTTACGCAATCAACCTTGCCTTACCTTTAGTAAATCAGGTCCAATGCAACTAACGGCCTGACATTTCACTACCAGTTGGTATGGGGTACAGACCCGCCATCTATCATGCATATGAATGAATTCACCGATTCACCTACTGTGAAGTCATCATGGCTATGGATGAGGCGGGGTTCTGGTTCATACGTTGATCCATTCCATCTTGTTGCGACAACGACCGCCTTAGCCAGCCGGCAAGTTTTCATCCATTCTTTGGACCCGCTGACGGTCAGTTCTACTCATGTAGGTATCACCGCAATTACAAGTGAACTGGTAAATAGCTCCAAGAACCCGATTACCTGACGATCTCTGGCGCTTGTGAAGAACCGTTAATGAGTCGCATTTGGAGGGTCGCGTTAGAGCAGACTTGATTCTGTGCCCAAACTCGTTTGTAACATCGTTCTTTTTGAACGACAACAAATAAGCATCATTTTTCTGTCTACCTGCCTTGGGGCACTCTTCTGTAGATTCCGATGAAGTTAAGAGCAGAATCTTGGCCTAAATTCAGATTCGATCCCTAGAAACTTTAGTAAACAGTCAAAGCGTAAGAATCGATCTCTTGAAAGGATAGCGTATTCGTCAAGCTGAATGCATGACCGATATCACAGAGGGAGTAACGGACAGACCCACTGACTCCGGAACTCCACCGCGCTGCGTCAGCTAGAACCTTCGACTCGATCCTTTCTTCGTTCAGATTCGTCATTCTGCCTTGCCATTTCGTCATCTACCCGCTGTTGTGTAGCCCTCGGAAGACAAAACCATTGTTGAGTTTCACTAAGAATCTAATTGTCTCAAAGCACGCTGGCATGTATAGTATCACTATGATGTTTCGTTGTTAATGCGGTTTGAGAATAGTTCTTATCGTCTGTCACCGCTGCTCAAAAGCCAAATTCCATTGGTGATTATTATTCCGCTCCTGTTCCATAGGGGCCAATCGCATTTCACACCATTGCTGCGCGTTGGGTATGCTACACTGGGTCAACCATTTGCTGGTGCCATAACTCCATGCTATCGCTTACACTGATGCTAGCTGGTGACCTCCCACCTGTCTTTTCTTTCAGCTGTTACCTTAGGGTTTCACTCAACCAACGAGAGGGTATTCGCAGGCAATTGTGTCGAACATAGGGAGAAACTGCCCCATCCAACGTGGGCGTTACAGGTGTGTTAGCCACTTTGGTGGACAACCAAGACACTCATCATTGTCATCAGCACAAACCACTCGACAGTTACCAACAATGCCTAGCGGCCACTACTGGTCAAACAAACTAGCTCTCCGTTTCTCACCGCTGTGACACTGGTCCCATCGCGATACAACATTACCGAAGTGCGGTCGCTTCGCCCTCACATGACTACCCGTTTCCGTGTCTGGGTCTTATATAATGCGAGGTCGCCCGCGCAGGACCGAACCCGTGACCACTCGGTCGCCAGCCAAGCGTGATCTCAGTATGCCTGAGACTACAATGAGGGACGACTAACAATGTTGATAGTTTGTCCCACCTCTCACTACTGTGTCGCCACGAATCGAGCCTTTGATAACCTGTGAAAGACAGTACCAACGAGCAGAAAATCGCCATCCAAATCAGAAAAAGAAACGGGTTCTCAGACTAGAAACTTAAAGGAATCAGAGCTGGTTGTACAGACCACATAGATCCTGGTCACAGTGTGAGTTTCGTTCCAAGTTTCGATCGATCAAAACCCCCCGTTTGAATTGTCCACTTGATATCAGTCAACAAAATGGGCTCTGAGGCCTAAGAGTGATATTCCTGGAAAAACCGGTTTTCCCAACACCTACCGAATAAAACCGATCCACCGTCCACTGCTGCTCGACGCGCGCGGTTTGAAATTGTGCAAAATCACCCTTTTTTAATTTGTACCTTCAAATTTAGTCTGGAAGCATATTCTAAGGACTAAGTGTGAAAACTTTACTCTGTTCCATCAATTATTTGATCGCTGTCATCAAGACAGATTCCTTTGACAGACGGTCCCGACTCGACCTGGTCCTATCGAGATAAGGTCTCGTTTAACCATCGATCTGCTTATGGTACCAGCTAGCAGATCCGGACCCCCTACCTGCACTTCGATATTTGAGTTGCTTTACTTACCTGCACATAAAAGTAAAGCAAGAACTGAGCGTCCTGTGCCCTGCTCTCGTTGCACTTTGATTTTGCTATCAGGATTCTCACCGACATTCATTTGCCGGCGGATTGATTGTCTTTTGTCCTACTCAATATCCTCATGAGTTCGTTCCATTAATTTTTCTTGGTGTTTGCTGTACTTGTGGTTTTATCATTGGTTTCTGTTTCTCCGCATCATTGTTCCTTTTTATTCCTGCTTTCTTTTGTCAATTCTATCGTTTAGGTTTTATATACATACATATATTTCTCATAAGGCTTTCATCCCAACAGTTCACAAGCTACATAACAGAGCCTAGTCCGGAAAAGCGCCAGACGCGTTTCGCCCTATTGGGGCTCGTCAGTGGCGCGCATTCCCTCGGTCCTCGAAGGAGGATCGAACCCATGACCGCTAGAGGCAGATGCCAACTAGCCAGCAGCTTAAGCCACTGAGCCATGGGGGACGTTTGCTGGGCTACATAATTTGCAAACTAGCTGGCATATAGCACCACGTCTGGCGCTTTTCCGGACTAGGCTCTGCTATGTAGCTTGTGAACTGTTGGGATGAAAGCCTTATGAGATTTACAACTAAAATCCTGCTACTTATGAGTAATACATATATTTGTTCATCGTAGCTTTTCATTGCATATCTCCATTTTCGGATATCATTGTTGTTGTTCCTTGTCTGGTCATGTCATCAACGGACACTACTTATTGTGGAGAGCGTAGCTGTGGTAGAGTAATAGAGAATAGAAATTTAATTCGATAGGTGCATATCTGGGTACCATGTTTGTTCGTGGTTAGACGAAGAGTCTACTGCATTATATTCATCCCAACTTGAAGTGGATTTGCTTTCATTCTGTATGTCTGGTCGACACCTACCGGCATTTACTAGATGGGGGGCACCTGATGCAGTCTCGGAATATTGCTGCTGGACATAGTGTTTCTGACGACAACAACCTGCAGAGGTGCAATACGGCAGGGAGGCTGATTAAGCAGCAGGGCTCTATTATTAAAACATTACGAGCAAAAATTGACGTGTTACATTCACATTTCGAGCCTTACACGTGTTTCACTGAACTCGCTATGGGTAGGCAGAGAAATGTGCTCATTTACAACCGAGAAGAACCGGTAATACGAGAGGCTAAGACCAGACATGACTTGGATAGAAAGCAGGTTCAGGACATACTGCGTATTGTCGGGATATCACCGCTAGTTGGCATCAAAAGTACCCATCGTGTTGGTGGTTGGCAGAGTGTAAGCGTGCTGCACCAGTTGGGCTTTGCAAGGCCGATTTTGGTAGAGTTTAACAATCCGCTTTATCGTGACCTACTTCTCAACCCAGTGGGCCTATTGGTTAACCTAACCAATGGCCGATATCAGGCGACCCCCGATACGTTCGCTTCCAAAATCGACTCAGTATTAACTTTAAAAATACTCACTTTGGTTCTCTTTTGTCAGCTAACAGCGGCATCGGTCAAGGAAATCCGGTTGCATCTTCTCTAACGGAAATTATGATAAACGGAGCTCGTGGTCAACTTTCCCAGATGGATGTTACCTGCCTTATCTCGCCTCTCCACAGAACATAACTGGATCAGAGCTCAATATTCGGGAGGTTGCCGTAGAAATACCGCTTTTGCATGACTTCAATGTTGCGTCATTGATGAGTTTGGTCCCTGCAGAAATTCAGGTTGCAAGTGAGCGATCGACCACTACTGAATCGGCCATCTTAGTGGCAACGGAAACGAGATCTCCAACAGCCGTGACTAGTTCAGCAACCGAGCTTAAAGGAATGCTTTCTGATAACTCATCCAGGTGCACAAACTCACCTCAGTCAGCTGCAACTGCGGGACCTGTGTTCTATAAAGTCAGCTTTGCTCGCCGTAGAATGAAAAAATGAGTTGTGACCGGGGTCACCGTAGCAACTAGAGCAAGTGGCGTCAGTGCTACTTTGTCTCCGAAGACCCAGGTAGAATTCCCAGTCAAACCTGAAAGTGTGGCAAAAAACAGGATACCCCCTCCGGTTCTACGCCGGAGGGGGAGTTTAAAAGTGCGGCTGACAACGGAGAACAACTGCTGCAAACGCTATTGAATATTTGGTACGCAATTTCTTGTAGCGTGAGGAACAAGTGGGGGGAGCTGCCGATGAGTTGTAGGTCTGCCGACGTTATTGTGATCACAAAAACCTGGCTCTCACCAAATGACTCAATAAATTATTGCCTGTTAGCCGACTTCGTGGGGTATAGACCAGATCGTCCTGGGTATCCAAATGGAGTGGAGTGCCCTTGCTTATAAGGTGTCACTGGGAAGCTCCGC